TGGTCCACATTGATACGACGAATCAACCTTGTTACAGCTCCTTTTTGTTTCAACCCTTGTAAATTTCTTCCGTTCAACCTTCCAGGTCCTTTTAAAAATTTGATCATTCTAACTCTTGTTTACTATTGATAACTGTTTTTTATATTCAGCATTTAACCAAATCAAACAACCCGGAGGTCCTTTTAAAATTTGTTCGTTCTAACTCTTATTTACGATTAATGACTGTTTTTTATATTCGGCATTTAACCAAATCAAACAACCCAGAAATGGAAGTGGAAATGGATTGAGTTGAGTTAATCTTAATTCAAACTCAACTTATTTAAATATAATTTAACTCATAATTTTTCTAATGAGTCAATTTTTTAGTTCAAATTTGACTTGCATTAAGTTCACAATAAGCTCAATTCAGTCCATTAACTCCCATATATCAAGAATAAAAAAAATTGATAATTTAAATATTTCATTTAAATAATTGCTAATAAGCAGTCAACTATAATTATAAATTTATAACATTTTTATGTATAATTTAAATTAATATTAAAATAAACTATTTTGCACCTTTTTATCAAAATAAAGTAACTATAATAATTTTTCTAAACATTTATAATACAATCTAGTTAAACATTAAATTATATATATATATATATATAAAGTCAACTCATCAAATATTTTTTAGCTTAATCTGGATTTATATTTTATGTAAGTCAAATTATGTCTTTCTTTTTAATTCAACCCCCGATATTACCAAAAAAAATAAATAACTAGTGTATCTTCATTTGATTTATGGGTCACTCGTAAAATAACTCTTAACTCATTTCTACCAGGGTGGACTTCTGGGGATTGGGTTCTTCCTGTCTCTCGGATTCAGATGCACCTATTTAAGAAAAAAAAGAAAAAAGAAAACGAAAAACCCACAATTATCTGCCGTGGGAGGGAAGGCACTGTGGATATATTTATGTACCCCATTTTTAAAAAGAAATTTATGACACTTCTAATTTGGTAGTATGCCTCGTAAGGACGTGCATTATGTTTGCAGACGATTAGACAGCTGTCAACCAAGGAGGCCCGAAGATGGCCACCGGCACAACCATCAACTTCTGATCTTTCTCGTCCCCATCCGCCCATCCGCTGCCCGTCCTAAAAATAGCAAACCTGGCTATAGCATCCCTCCCTGGGTGGGGTCTCCACCACCGAAATGCCTCTGTCCTTGCACGTGCTTCACGTGAACGCCTACGGGTCGTGTCCTCTGCTTCCCCAATCCTGGACGGCCAAACCCCGTGGAAGGCGGGTCGCCAGTAAGGGATTTGGATGCCTTTAATATTAATTTAAACTGGCAAATTATGGGAACCATCCAAATCAGCGGAGGAGAGTGGTTGTCTGCATACCGTAAGTAGCTCACGGTTTGATACGTCATCAATGGGTATCATTTTACGTGTACATACATACATGGTATCATATACATATATATATATATATGTATGTATGTATAAAACCGTGGGGAGAGACAGAGGGAGGGCAGCATGGGGACCAGCCCCCGTAATGCCGGTATATAGTCTGCAAACGCCGTTGACAGCCGTCGACTGTTAATGGTGGAGCAAATGGGTCAACTGGTCTCCTTCAAGGCTTTTACTTTTAATGTTGGTATCAATATTTCTGTTTCTTAAATCACTCCACCATTTAATTAGCAAAAAATTAAAAAAAAAAAAAGCCCAAATTCAAAAAGAAAATTACCCTTATCTTGAATTGATTTTCTTTCCCAACATTGACTACAATGCGAGATTAGTGCCCACTTAATCATGTGAAAATTCACAGAAATTACTGTGAAAGGCACTGAATATAGTTAAAATTTGAAAGTTGTTCGTGGAAGGATTGGACCCTTGAATTTTTTTCCCTTCTTTATTTATTTTTTCAATTTTCTCAACCATTAAAATCTTAATTATAGGCATATCATCCACATGTTAATGCTGAGTTTCTGTTCTTCCGAGTGGGTTTTGACAGTATTTCAACAATCACCAGTACAATAATTGTCGAGTGGATTCTGATGTTTGATAATATATGTTTCCCACTTTACCCGCTGGTTGATTAACTCTTCATAAACCATCTATGGAATTTTTTCTTCTTCTTTTTCTTTTTCTTTTGGGGTTGGGGGAGGGGGGGCATATGTGTTTATTTCAATGTAAGAAATAAATACTGTGGGGTTGGTAAAAATTATGAATTGATTTGGCTTTTGATCTTTCAAAAAAAATTAAATAAATAAATTAGATTTAATTTTTGAAATCGACATTTTTAAGAGACGACAAGGTATGGACTAAAAATAAAAAAATTTCCATTTGTCAAATAAAAATACGGAGACCTATTTTATATTTTTATCTAATATTATCCTCCTTTAAGCCAGTGATTACAATAAACTCAGAAGTATATAGGTGTGAAAATATAAATAATAGAACATACCAGTAGAAATAACTCTAAATTTGATGCAACTTTTGGGTGACGGGAATTATAATGCTTCGAACAGTGACTTTGACTTGGATGATTGAATGTTTCAGCCATAGTTTCCGTCCATACAATTTTAATTTTGACCAGCAATAAAGCGAAAAGCAATTGGCTCTTCTTATAAGTGTTTTGTAACTAATTCTGAAAAATTTAAAATTTGTGATTAAAGAAAAAGTGAGTAAAAATAAATTATAATTAGAAGTCTAGTGTATTTATAAAAATTTTGAAAATATTAAAATTAATATTTGATATATAATATTTGTAATTTGTATAAAAGGAAGAAAAGTTTATGAAAAAAATTTTAAAAAGAAATTTACAATAGTTCTATTTAATTATAATAATATTACAAATAATTAGAAATATCTATTTTTTGTACTTTTAAAATTTATTATTAGTTCTTTTTTTAAATTAAAAGAAATAAAATTTAAAATAATTATTTGTGTGCCGAAAAAACTCAAAATTATTTTTAAAAATATCATGGAAAGACGCTTTAAATTTTAGTACTGAGATTGTCCGATGGAACTAGATTGGACGGGATTTTATTGAATTTTCAACCCTCCAAATCATTAAATAGAAAATCAGAGCGTATTTTTCTCCTTCCTGTTTTTACGAAGGACACCAAAGTATGAGAATATGTGTAGAGTGGGGACAGCATGTGAACAAATGATCTACATCCTCAATTTCATTACTGTCACACACTTGTCATCATCCAGTTGGCCCCTGGAGGGGATAAGAGGATCAACTGTAACCCCCCTCTTCCCCACAGCCCCCCCCCCCCTCCCCCCAAAAAAATAAATAAAAAATAAAAAATAAAGACCAACACCGACTAAAAGCCTGCAAACCTAGGCAACTTTTAAGCAAAGAGTAAAATTGATATCCTTCTTCACAAGCTTTTTTAACTTGGCTTCTAATTTACTTGTTTTGGCCCTCACCTACTAACCAGTTCCAAAAGAAAAATTAATTTATTCATGTTATCATTCAGAATTCCCCACAAAATAAGGGTAAAATTGTGTAAATATCACTGAGTTTTTCCTTATTTATTAATTTATTTAGGGTCAAGAGTAGCCCAAAAAATAGGAGGCGGCAATGAATGGACAACCTAAGACAATCCTTTAGGCTTTAAGATGTTCCAGGATGCCTGCCTTCCCTCTTAACCTTCAGGTTTGAGCATATCTGTTGTCAACTTCTCAGTTTGAAAGTGACTTTTCTTTGCTTTTTCAACCAAGATCGCAATGTAAAAGATGCAGAGGACTTATTTTTAGCGCATTACTGGGGAGACCCACCATTGATGCAGCTCAGCCAAGTCAATAAGGGTAAAAAATTCACTTAGGATAGCCATTAATTCTATGTAGTACCCAATATAAATCAATATTTTTCTAAATTGGATTTAGTAAAAATAGTAAAAAATAATTACCTAAAGCAGCATATTACTATAAAAGATAGCTACCTAAAGAGGATTTTGTTATACAAGATTGTAATGTTTCAGAGTTTTATAGGGCATTTATGAAAATGGGGATGCCATATATATCCTAAATGTAATTTAATTTATTTATTTTTAGAAATTTATTGACCATTTGTCACTTTAATAAAACAGTACACTGCAGGCGGTTCTTAATTAATATATTATTAATAACTCGTTGTAAAATAAGGAAAAGGGAAGGAAATAGTTTAAAATGATTTAGGAATTACTCACACTAATAAAGGATTAATTCCAAATTTTTAGATTATTATGTTCCCTAATTCTCATTGTAATTAAAAAACATATCAGTACAGAAAAAGAAAAAAATTACTGAGTGATGCCGTTGTCATGCTTTTAAAATAGAAAATGAACTAATGAAAAATATTTTACTATTTTGAACAAGATTAATAATTTAATTTCATAATTTCCGTTTAATGCATCCTTGTTTTACCAAATTAGAGAAGGAGACCTCATGTTACCCAATGACAAATAACGTTGGCATATACATTGGATTAAAAAATTGTCCATTTTTTTATTTTTCATATCAGAGACCATTTATTTTTTAAAAATAATAATAAATTTATGGTTCATATTAATCCATGTCGAACCCCAATACAATATGATAGATACACACATCTAAAAAAAAATGGTAGATGTGAGATTTCAAAACAAAAAGCTGTTACAAAGTTAAATTTTTTTATTTTGCAATTACCCAATTGTTGTTAATCATAAATATGTACATAAAAAAATAAAATAAAGAAGCGATCATCTTGTCTGGTTGAGCCATTGCTGTTTGTTGTTTGCCTGTTAGGACATTGGAGCTCGCGCCCCCGGTCACGAGCGTTTCTTATTTCTCTCTCCCTCTGTTTCTTCTTTTCGTTTTCTCTCTCCTCCCTTCCTTCCCCTCTCTCCTTTCTCTCTCAGGGAGTAGTAAAAAACCAAGCGAGCATCCCCAATTCCCAGATTCTCTCTCCATTGGCATCCCACTTCGATTTGCGAGCCTTTCAGAAAACTCTCACTTCAATCCCCAAAATCAGTAGATTCAGATATGAAGCGCGAGCACTCCCACCGTCCTCCACCGCCAGACCCTTTCACCGGCGCCTCCTCTGGCCAAAAGAGTAAGATGTGGGAGGAAGCTGAACCGGACGCCGGCGTGGACGAGCTCCTCGCTGTACTGGGCTACAAGGTGAAGGCCTCTGACATGGTCGAGGTCGCCCAGAAGATCGAGCAGCTCGAGCAAGTGATGGGCCATGGCCAGGAGGACGAATTAATGTCTCACCTCGCTTCCGACTCCGTTCACTACAACCCTTCCGATCTATCTTCCTGGCTCGAGTCCATGATCTCCGAGCTCAACCCGCCGCCACTGCCGCCGCCTCCGCCGATGGAGGACCCGTTCCTTGCCCCGGCCGAATCCTCTACAATAACGTTCCAAGATTCACCTTCCGATTACGATCTGAAGGCGATCCCGGGAAACGCTGTCGTTTACCCCCAAATTCAGCCGCCGCCGAACAAGCGGTTCAAGCCCGCCTCGTCATCGTCGTCATCGATTACCTCTGCCATGCCTGTCTGGGGCTCCAATACGGTCGAGTCGTCTCGACCGGTGGTCCTTGTTGACTCGCAGGAGAACGGGATAAGACTAGTCCACGCCCTTATGGCCTGTGCGGAGGCCGTCCAGCAAGACAATCTCAAGCTCGCCGAGGCCCTGGTCAAGCAGATCGGGTTCCTCGCCGTCTCGCAAGCCGGCGTCATGAGAAAAGTCGCCACCTACTTCGCCGAGGCTCTTGCCAGACGAATCTACCGGCTATACCCCGAGAATCCGCAAGATTCTGCCTTCGCTGACCTTCTCCAGATGCATTTTTACGAGACCTGCCCTTACCTCAAGTTCGCTCATTTCACAGCTAATCAAGCCATCCTTGAAGCTTTCGCGAATAAAGATAAGGTTCATGTGATAGACTTTAGTATGAAACAGGGATTGCAGTGGCCGGCTCTGATGCAGGCCTTGGCTCTTCGACCCGGCGGTCCGCCCACTTTCCGTTTGACTGGGATCGGACCTCCCTCGCATGACAATACCGACCATTTGCAGGAAGTTGGTTGGAAGCTAGCTCAATTGGCTGAAACTATTCACGTTAAGTTTGAATACAGAGGGTTTGTAGCCAATAGTTTGGCGGATCTAGAGGCCTCGATGCTTGAGCTTCGAGATGGTGAAGCCGTGGCGGTTAATTCGGTTTTTGAATTGCATCAATTGCTGGCTCGACCGGGTGCGATCGAGAAGGTTTTATCGGCGGTGAAGGAGATGAAGCCGGATATACTGACAGTCGTCGAGCAAGAAGCGAACCACAACGGGCCGGGTTTCCTTGACCGGTTCACCGAATCCTTGCATTACTACTCCACGCTTTTCGACTCGTTGGAGGGTTTGTGGCGGCAGCGGGTCGCCATCGCAGGTTAGCAACCAGGACAAGGTGATGTCGGAGGTGTACCTGGGCCGGCAGATCTGCAACGTGGTCGCGTGCGAGGGGCCGGACCGGGTGGAGAGGCACGAGACGCTAGCTCAGTGGCGAGCCCGGTTCGAGTCGGCCGGGTTCGAGCCGGCTCACCTGGGTTCGAACGCGTACAAGCAGGCGAGCATGTTGCTGGCGCTGTTCAACGGCGGGGATGGGTATCGGGTGGAAGAGAACAGCGGGTGTCTGATGCTGGGTTGGCACACTCGGCCACTCATCGCCACCTCGGCCTGGAAACTCAGCTAGGACCGAGCCGACTCGGAAGGAGACCCCACATACTCCGAGTCACGTCAACTCAAGTGTAGCCCGCCACCGCCACCGCCACCAAACCCTAACAAAAAGTTAAGGCCTACCATCTCTTTCCCTCCCTCCCTCCCTCCGTGGTGAGTGCTGAGCTGGGTTGCTGGAGTGAGACCCACCGGGCCACCACCGCTTCAAAGTATGTCTGCTCCTTGTTCAGATCTTTTTACCCTCTCCATCTCACCTTTTTTCACCTACCCTTTTTAGGTATAAAAATTGTCTAGTTTCTCTCCTTGCCTTTTTTTTTTTTTTATTTTTTAAAATCCTCTTTCCTTTTCATCGGGTGCAATCTGATATTTTTAGTCAAATTTCGATGTGTATTTTGCATATATAGTTTGGCTTAATAAGGGGGTAATCTTTCTCTAGGATCTTTTGGGAATTTCACCCGGTGATTGGATTTTCCTTTTGTTTTTGGAGGAGCGGGGTGATGTAAGATGTGGAAAGGAGGACGAACCCGTTTGGTCACTTGTGTGGTGTGTTTTTGTGGAGGGCTACTCTGAAAATTACAGACGTTTGGATGAACCTCAACTTCTCTATTCTTATCTTCAATAATTATGTGCTTTATGATATGATTCATCATTCATCCACAGAAGAGAAAAGACCTACACTTTTGAATGTCAGCGACGAATCACTGCAGAGTAACCATGGATTGGAAATATGGTAACGCCGTAATTCCGATTGAAATCATGGGCATACCATAAACGGCCATGCGGCAGTCTGGCTACTGCATTTGCGTGCACTAAACAGCTGTAAATTTCTCAAAAATTAAAAATAAAATAAAAAACAGTCGAATAAGATATAGGGAAGGTCAGGAAGCTCAGTTTGGAGCTCTTTTTAAAAGCTTTTGACCCGAAAGAAAAAGGTAAACTTTTCCGAAATGAACCATAAAACATTAATTTAGAAATCCGGGGAATGAGTTGTGGCTTTTCTACCCCGCCAAACACGCCCTCAAGTGAGAGTTCTTTGCTGTATTAGTTTCGGAGGATATTTGCCGTCTACCACCTAATTTATGAATAATTTATTTTTTTGGGTCCTTTTTGTAAATATTATTATTCAGCAGGTGCATGGGCCGTGGCCCATGAGGAAATGAAATGCTAGAATTGGTTGGTTAGCAGCAATGGGAAGTGCTTTTGAAGGGCGGATAAGTTAGAACTAAGAAGTCGGCCACCGGTAGTAAATTTACTAAAAAATTTGTCATTGTCACGACAAAAGATTAACGACGGAATCTAATTCGTGTGCTATTATCACCTTACTCGGCTAATGGACTTTTAAATATTTTATTTAATATTATATATAAACGTATATATTAAAATACAATTTATTAAAAATTTATTTTTTATTTAGTTTCAATATTTTTAAATTAAGGATAACTTATTGTCACGGTGTTGAAAAATTATAACAAATTGAAAATTTAAATAAGTGAACACATATGCAAATAATTTTTTTATTTCACAATATTTACTATCTTAATAATTTAATTTAATAATAATCCGGTATTAAATGTAGATAGATATATCCTGTAATTTTAAGATGATGATAAGGACTGTAGTTAGAGGATGGTTTACTAAAAAAATAGGGTACTAGTACAAAGTCCAGACAAAGACTAAACATTCACTCTCGAGTCGTCCGGTCCCCAGATTTTGGGTGAAAAGTAAGAAAACGTGGCCGGCTTAACTCGGCTTTCTTCGGTCAACTTGCGACCAGCTGAAACGTTTTTCTTCCTTCTTCGTAAATTCATAAAGATTATTTTTCCAAATCTTTAATATTTTTGTAAAATCATGCATCCACAAACTCTCGAGTCGTCCGGTCCCCAGCTTCTGGGAAGTAAGAAGACGTGGCCGGCTTAACTCGGCTTTCTACCCGGTCAACTTGCGGCCAGCTGAAACGTTTTTCTTCTTTCTTTCGTAAATTCATAAAGATTATTTTTTTTGTCCAAATCTTTAATATTTTTGTAAAATCATGCATCTGCAAACTCTCGAGCCGTCCGGTCCCCAGCTTCTGGGTGAAAAGTAAGAAGACGTGGCCGGCTTAACTCGGCTTTCTACTCGGTCAACTTGCGACCAGCTGAAACGTTTTTCTTTTTTCTTTCGTAAATTCATAAAGATTATTTTTCCAAATCTTTAATATTTTTATAAAATCATGCATCTACAAAAGAATTCACGCTGCCCGAAATTTTAATTCTTTATTGTGCTTAATTTATTTAACAAATTTAATTTTATTATCTGATTATCTAAAGTTATTTAAATGTTAAAAAAATTGGAAAAAAATATCGGATGTAACCATTCAACATCTGGGTTTAGCCCAGTTTGGAGGTCGTTAGTAGTGAGTATAATGAGAAGTGATTAGACAATAAAGCTGGAAATTGGGCTTTCCTTAACGCCTTTCAGTTTCAGTTTCTGACTTTTGGAAAACTGTTGCTAAAAGGATTAAAAAGTTCCCCTTTTAGTAGCTTTCCAGATAGCTTTAAAGCCGCAAGCTGAAAACACTTTTAGGAAAAGTCGATCTAGGCTTGACATAAATCATACGGGGCTCAATGCTGTGCTTAATTTTCTCGTTAATTGTATAATTTAGAAGTATACAAGCGAATATGATATTACTAAATTCATTTTCTTTCAAATTTAGTCGAACCCATGAATTAGAAATTGGATTTTCAGAATTTTCTATTGTTAGTATTAAAAATTCCTTTTGAGATTTTAAAAACTTTTGAATTTGGTATCATAATTTATGCAAATAATTCCTAGTCTGCAGGATAAACAGAAATCTACGTGTCAACCTCCACGTATCAATTGTAAATGGAATAAATTTTCATTTAAAATAGATTTAAATTTTAAAATTTAAATTATATTAAAATACTTAATAGATTAAATTTAATTATATATTTTCATAATTTAAAATAAATGAACTAGATAAAAAATTAAGTAATTTAATTTTTTAAAAATTTAAATCTAAATTTTAATAATATTTTTATTAAATTAATAATCTTATATATATATGATACTATAAATTTTTATTTATAAAAATTAAAAAATTTAAAGACAATATAATTGATAGAATAAAATTGAATAATTCAAGGGTACAAAAACATTACTTTTTTGTTAAATCGAAATTTTTATTCGAAATTTAAATTATTCATTAAATTTAAATATGGATTAATAGATATATATTTTATAAAATTTTGAATCAGATTTATATATATAAACAAGTATTTAGATTCTGATCTAAATTAACTTGATTTGATAAAAAATCTACATTTATTTAAAATACTTGAAATATTGACAGCTTTTTGCATAATGCATGGGAAAACCATTTACTAGTTCGGCAAACTTTTGTAAGCATTTTCAAATCAATTAGAATTCAAGCACCAATCAAAGAAGCAAATTCCATCAGTGGGTGGCTCAGATATCAATTATAATTTAAATGCCAATTAATCAGTGCGCGGATTGGACTTGGATGGCTCAACTTGAACCCATTAGCACCAAAACGACAAGGGATTAGGGATACGAAAAAAGGGATTAGAGGATAAAAGGGGGTGCAACATACCATATTAGTCTACACACATTGGATTATACCTGTATTATTTAAGGTGTGTTTGTCATGGGATTCCCAGATATTATAAGGTCCTTCTTTGCTCTTCATTCTTTACCAATATATATATTGAAAAAATAAAACCCAAAAAAAAATCACTAATATGTATTGTGGCTTTATATGTTCACTGATTTTTATGTAATAATATATATCAAATCAATAGTAACCGTTGATTTCTGATTTCTCTTGGCAGATGTGTCATACTTTACAAGTCAAATTGGGGACCCGAATCCATTTGTATATGAGTTTAGGTGTACAAGAGGGGCACGCAACAAAGTTATTTCATACCCAACTTGCCATCCAGTGTACACAAAATATTATCACCAACCCGATGCACAGCCCCACATGTTCTAGTTTTCCCTCTGTTTCACGCAGGTTCTCTTTGATTGGGGCAAGTCTGGAAGCCAAGTCAAGCTCAAATTGCTGAAAATCTGCTGATCCAGTTTCTATGGAATTAATGAAGTTGAAAGGAAACTGAAAATTCTGGATATTTTGAGAATTGAAACCCCACCTGAAACTTGAGTTATCCATTATTTCTTTTCTTAAGAAAAAATAAATTTGAGGGGTTTGGTTTAGATAATAAAAAAATAAAAATAAAAATCAAGAGACTAGAAAAGTTAGTCGGGAGAGTGAGAGATAGAGAGAGGAGAGGAGGAAGAGATAAGAGGGTCAACATCACTCGTGAGGTTTGATGGCTGGACAATGAAAATATGTTGTGGATTTGAGAGTGACAATGTGTCCACCACCACTAAAAAATGTTCCCATCTTCCACTTTCTTTCCATTGTTTAATGAACCCAAGATTATTTATATGATATTAACCCATTCGCCCAATCATTTAGGAGATGAGAATAGGATTAAGATTATTAAGTACCAAAAAATCAGGTTGTGGTGAGCTTTTCCCAGTATTTGGAGTCAAGTTTAGTGTAAAAATTGAAGAGAAATAAGAAGAAAATAGAGTTATTTAAAGGAATGAAGGGTATAACCTTGTTAGAATTTAATAAATAGTCACTAACTATGATTTGCTTGATTGGCCAAGGAGAATGTCTCTCCTCTACTTTCTCCTTTTTCTCCTCAACGGTTAATCCTCTCCAAGCTAGTGTGGAGTTTTTCGTATCTCCACTTTATATTGCCTTTTTAGTGTAAGTCACCTGAAGGTATAGCCTTTTCAAAGATGGTCACCATGAATACCATTGGATTTTCCTACTTCAAACGGTTAATTATTCTCCACTTCTCAATCCTTTCCTAAAAACCACTAGCTAAGTTATGATGAAATAATTCTCTTTTAATTGTGGCTTAAGTTTTTTAAAATTATAACGAGTGATGTTTCTAATAAGCAAAAGAAAAAGAAAGAGAGAAGGAGCAACTTCAAAGATAATAGAGCATTCCAGTTCTACTCAAGTCCCTGGCATCATTTATGCT